CATATCGGCGAGAGCTACAGTCGGCCTGACATATCGGCGAGAGCTACAGTTGGCCTGGCATATCGGTGAGAGCTACAGTCGACCTGACATACGTAGTAGCAGGTCGGAATCCGACCTGGACCGTACACTAGCCCTCCAGCGCTGAGCCTATAAGGCGGAAGGGCTTTGCTAGACAGGGGGTCGGCTTAGCCATGGCCGACATGTCCCTCGTGGAGGCCCCTAGTCGGATTTCATCCTGGACCGTACATTAGCCCTTCAGCCTTGAGCATGCAAGGCGAGAAGGCTTATCCTCAGTCGATACATACAGTCAGATTCTTGTTGAGCACACTTTTATGACTAAGGCAAGGGACAGACCAAGAAGATTCACTGACTTGTTATCTTCGTGGCTCCTCGGGCTCTGGTAGGGGATGTGAGAAAATTCACCGAGTTAAAAAGCTTCAAATGGAGTAGTCGGTTAACTATCCGACTCAGTCACCTTGGGTCACCGAAATACCGAGTCGAAATTCACCAAAATCAAGTCGCCTAATTTCCGACTATAAATGATGAGAAATTTTTTTTGTTACAATGAAATTCGACAATCCAATCGGTGAAATACCAACTCACAAAATGAGTGGAAAATTTTCCGAGTTAAAATGAATCCAACTAATAGCCCCCATGCCCACCATTCCAAGAGTGAAATAAAAAGATGCTCTTCTAGCTAAGATGTGGCGTTTTTGGCTGAGGTGTGGGACATGATAAGCCTACGGGTCAGACAAATGCCGATCTCCCTAGAATGATTTAGTATTTTGGGTGTTCTCTGATGAGTTTTGCTTCCCCCTAGTTCGGATTTTTACCGAGCGATCATGAATTTGTGTCTTCGAGTTATTTTATACTCGCCCAGTCAGATTTTTACCGATCAATCACGAGTTTGGTCTTCGAGTTATTTATACTCGCCCAGCCGGACTTTTGCCGACAATCACGAGTTTGTGGTGCCTTCAAAATAACACATGTTAGAAATCATATAAGATAAATAAGGGATGATGTTTATTAGGATTCAGGAATTATTGGTTTGCGGTGCCTCATTAAAAACCTTCTCAACAAAAAACCTTTTCACATTTTTATATGGAATAAAAATCTCTTGGGACGACCCCAGCTTCTCGGCTTTCAGCTGCCCTTTTGTTGATTTGTCCCTCCTCCGTCTTGATGTGACTCAGGGCGAAAGCTCTCACCTCCGACATCGTTTGACAACTCGCTTTCTCTAGCGCGATGTCGAAAGCTCCAGACCTTAAGCCCTTCTGGAACGCGATGACTGCCATCCTTTCATCCAAGGACGCTATCCTCAAGGCGACCTCATTGAACCTTTGCAGAAAGTCCTTCAACGACTCCTCCCGCTGCTGTTTGAGATCGAACAAGTCCGACGTGATCGGTGGTTTCTTCTTGTTAGCGGCGAACTGTGTCATGAAGAGCCGACTAAAGACATCAAAGTCGGTGATTGATCGGTCAGGGAGACCACTAAACCAATCCAGTGCTGCTTTTTTGAGTGTACCCATGAATAGTTTGCAGCGGACTTCCATACTTCCTCCACAAATCAACATTTGAGCGCGGAAATTCGTCAAGTGCTGACTGGGATCCTGAGTTCCATCAAAAGGTTCGACTTGGGGAATCCGATGATCCCTCGGGATGGTCTCGGCCTCTATGGCCTCCGAAAAAGGTCGAAAATCCCTGGGGACTTCCATCATGACATCTTCCTCCACCGTCCTGGCGTTGGCCGTTATCATAGCTTGCATCTCGTCCGCCCGCCTCCTAATCTCCTCGTTTTCTCGTTGAATAGCCTCCTCTCTCTCCCTGGATCGCGCATTCTCCTCCCTCAATCCGTTGATCAATGCCATCATCTCCTCCATGGTAGGGTGTTGTGAGTCGTTGTTGGATGTGCCGCCTCTCGCCATGGTAAAGTGCGGGTTCTCCTGTGTTACTTGGGGCGTAGGAAAAGTTTCACCGTAGCCCCACGGTGGGCGCCAAAATGTTCCGGCCACGAGGTGCACTAGGGTTTTTTCCTAGGTCAGACCTCAAAGCCAGAGCATTCAAGAGTGTAATCTGCCTTCTCAACTCTAGGGTTTTTTCTTTTATAGTTTCTTGTTTACGGGCTTTATGGGCCCCGAGAATGTAGGAATTTCCTTAACCGTTTTGATCTGGCTAATATTTGGTGAGGGACAGTGGGACCTTGCCCTTGCTATCCGGTAGTCCCTGTATGCGAGAGCTGTGTCGGCCCCCGACCGACCATACCCGTACTGAGGGTACAGTCGGGTATTGGCCGAGTTGGTTCTTGTAAGCGGAAGGAATCAGAAATATACCGACCAGGTTAAGTAGAGAAACCAAGTCGAGTAATAACCGAACCACTCTTAGAGGGGTGATCGGCGAGAGCTACAGTCGGCCTGGTATATCGGCGAGAGCTACAGTCGGCCTGACATATCGGCGAGAGCTACAATCGGCCTGGCATATCGGCGAGAACTACAGTCGGCCTGGCATATCGGCAAGAGCTACAATCGGCCTGACATATCGGTGAGAGCTACAGTCGGCCTGGCATATCGGCGAGAGCTACAGTCGGCCTGACATACGTAGTAGGCAGGTCAGAATCTGACCTGGACCGTACACTAGCCCTCCAGTGCTGAGCCTATAAGGCGGAAGGACTTTGCTAGACAGGGGGTCGACTTAGCCATGGCCGACATGTCCCTCGTGGAGGCCCCTAGTCGGATTTCGTCCTGGACCGTACAATATATATAATAATTGTTATTATTATTATACATATTATTTTATATTAAGACCAAGGTCAAGATGAATCACTTTTGCGAGGGGTGTATGACGGACAATTAAAAGTTGTTAATTGGATTTAATATTAAGATAATATTAAGGTGTACTTAAAAAACAGTGAAAATTAAATTATTTTGAAATTGATTATTGTTATAATTGTTTATAATTAGAATAAAATTTTGTTTACCTGAATTTGATGAAAGTGATTTTGAAATATTTAATTTTGTTTAGATATAACAAAATGAGTTTTTATGTAGTAAATCAGATTAAAAAAAAGTTGTTAAAAAATAATCATAAGTTACAGATTTTCTGCTTCATAGAAAATCTTAATAAAAAAAAAACATTTGTAAATTTAAGTTGTTGTCCAAAAAATACAGCTTATTTTTCAAATAATAAATAAATAAGCTGAAATATAAGATTATAAGTTGTCTCAAAGCTCTAAATGGTTAGGATGAGTTAATATAACAATTTGTTTCAGTTTTTTTAAATAGAAATATATTTTTAGCATATTTACATTTTCATGTTTCTCCTTGATTTAAAAGTTTTGTTTGATTTAAGTAGAGTCTTTTTGTCGGCTCGAAAGTAAGTTAATTGTTCGGTATGATTGAAAGTTAATGGAAAGAAAAATTTTCTTTTCCTTTTTTTATTAAATAGAAAATTAGAAAAAAGAAAATATGTATTTACAAAAAAACATAATATCCTTCAATAAATATAAATATATTACTATGAAGGATATTTTTGTCTTTTTAATAAAAATGGTTGCCTTCTTTCTTTCTTTTTTATCTCCAAATTAGTGAGAATTTTTTTTTGAGTCTCACAAAAAAATAGATTTTCTTTCTTCCCTTATTACATAACCAAATAAGGAAAAACAAATACTTTTTCTTCTTTTTTTTTCCTTTCCTTTCCTTTCTCACCCATTCCTTCTATTTTTCGGTTATACCAAACAAAGCATGGAATCTCACTTTCTACTATTTTTCTTTATTTTGTTTTCTGCTATATTTTTTTTTTCTATTTTTTTCTAAATCAAACATTGTTTCAAAAATCTATGTAAAAGTATATATATTTCTAAATTGTCCTATTCTATATCAGTTTTTGAACCGATATAAATTATCTCGTAAAACCAATGTAAATAAGTGATTTCAAAGATACAGAATGACTTGTTTAAAAGTCTAGTCTCACTTAAAAAAATGTTTACGTGATCTATTTTATACCAGATTTATAAATAAATAAATTAGTCTGAATAGACTAATAGACATGTAGGCTTAAGTATTAAAATGTTAATATTAATAATTTATATTAAATATAAGCTAATATATAATATGATGATATTTTATATTTTAAGTAGAATAGCCTATTTACTAAACTTTTTTAACAAACAGGTTCAACGGCCAAACTTAATTTTACTTCTAACTACAAATTACAAGCCATGTAATTTTATCGTGGCTTATTTTATGAGTAATTTAAATGTTCACATTGCAAGAAATTAATAATATATATATATATATAATATCTATTTTGCCTATTTAATATTTTCATACATTTTATACTTACATTTAAAACTATTAATTAGTGGTCATGTTTCCAATTTTACAAAAATATAAAATGATAAAAAAATATAAATCAATGTCTAAAGTAGATTGTTTACAATGCATGTGTTGAAATTATAGTTTCAATACTTAAAATGATACAAACACGTGACATTAATGAATTGACGGTAACATTATATGACAACAAAAAAATACTTGTTGAAAATATAAAAAAAATTATCTTCAGAAAGAAAAAAATTATATCTATTAAACTTAATGAAAACTTTCTATTTTCGGATCCCTAATATAGCATTAATATTAAAATCCGCGGGTAACTAAAATCTGTGACAACGTGGACACGATCTAGCAGACAGGATTCTAGCTCTGGCATTCATATTTTCGAACACAAAGTGGGTCTCTGGTAGATAACTCGAACACAGAAAACTCCATTTCCAAAGACATAAATCCCACAATGGGCCATCTATGATATATATATATATGTGTAGGAGGAATATATCTCATGCATAGAAGACAACACTTCCTAAGACATAAGTGTCGAACAAAACATCCCCACATGATCCGATTCTCTTTAATATCAAGCATTTACTCTTATAAAAAGAAGTTAGACATTGAAAACACTTCCTTCAAGACAAACCCTACCGTGGCCCATGAACCATACCTCAGCCGAGACAATACCCAAATTACCCCTACAACTACTAGCCCTAGAAATCATAACAAAACACACAATCTAAGTAAAGTTCAAGCCCCATGATAAAAGCAAAACACAACATAACATGGCATAATAATAAAACCCTAGTAAAACGTGACAATAAACACTAGTAGTCAACTCTTAACAAAGTCAACATGAGAAAACTCAGTAACCCCACATGCAATCAAGCTCCGACGCCCCTAGTGCTATGTTAGGGCCACCTTCAACCAGCTTTTGGTCCTCCGGCATAGGCCAGCCGAGAAATTCACCGGCGCCGGCGCCGGAAAAGGGCTGCGCCGCCGGGGAGAAGAGGAAAGGCAACTGAAGGTTGTCTTGCAGTGACCTCAAACTTGGGAAGGCATTTACACCAACGTTCCTGGGGAAACGAGCAAAAGGGTCCGTAGCAAAAGGCTGAGGAGGGAGATCGAAGCTTGCACTTGTGAAGTTGTTGTTGGCAGTGACAGCGGCAGCAGTTGCTGCAGCTATTGTGGAGAAACAGGACACGTGCTCCTTTGGGGTGGTGCTGTCGTAGGAACAGTTGTGACGGTCGTTGAAGGTTGTTGTGGTGGTGGTCGTGTAGGGGGAAGAATCTAGAAGTGGTGGAAGGTACACAGAGGAGGGTGAACTTGGTTCATGGCAGAGAGAGGTGGCGCTGTTCATTCTTGTTTTCTTGGAGCCACTAGTAGCAGACATGGTGGAGCCTCCATTGCTTGTATTACTCTTCTGAAACACACGTGATATGACCCACTCGTCCTTCATTAAGCCACAGCCATTTCATGTTAGTGATAGCACAACACCAACCACTATAAATACTTAGCATAAAATCATGCATTGTGTCATGAATCACACGATGACTGCTATTATTAGGAAAGTTTTTAGTCATATGAAAGCGTCTATAATATGGAACCCTATGAAAAACATGGAATCTAAACCGCTGGCAATAATAACGATATGTGTAACTTAACTTGGTGGATGCAAAACCATGTTCAGGAGCAAAATAAGACATCTACATGCACCTTTGAGTAATAGCAGGAGGTCAGAAGCTAACGAACTTTTTGATGAGAGAAGATTGAGAACAAACAAGCGAAGAGGAACATAACTAATTACTTCCCTGCGCTTCTTTATGTTTCTAGAGTACAAAATCTAAATCGAGAAACAAAACTTAAACAAATGAAAATAGATCATCTCAACATTGGTAAACGGAACCTAGTTATGGAAGGCTAAAAGGGAACCCAGATTCCCTGACTCTAGTTATGTTATTTAACTACAAATTGTGAAGGTGGATCAGTTAAAAGTACACATCGTTCAATGCTATATGAGTGAAAACAAAAGCAAAAGTAGAAAGATGAATTAATGAAGGAACAAAATAACACATACCTTCGAGTTTCGAGAAAGATAATGGTAAGCAAATTTTCCCTCAAGGCGATACTCATGCATGACCCAGTTGCTTTTCTCCCCCTTTGGAGCTCTACCACGGTAGAAAACCAAGGTTTTCTTCATCCCCACCAAAGAACAAGTTTTGGAGCTATAAATCTCTCTATCTTTCCCAGTGGCTTTCCAGTAACCAGCTTCAGTAGCCCTATTGGTTCTCAACCCAGTTGGGTACTTCCTATCACGTAGGCTGAAGAAGTACCACTCCTTCTCACCCATCTTAGCTTTGTCTGAAAGCAACAAGAAAGTTTTAGTTAGAAAATTCATCTAAGGTGTTAAAAAAGTAGTAAAAAACCAAAGCAAAGAATGAAAGGGGTGATGATTGTTTCTCACCTGGGAGCTCCCATGGTTCACTCTTGTTAAGGTCAACTTCAGCTATGGCTCTCCCAGTGAAGGTACTATCAAGAACCTTCTTGAGAAGGTAGTACGTTATGAGTTCCTCATCAGTAGGGTGGAACCTGAAACCAGGTGGCAGGTGAGCTTCAGTGTGGTCCAAGTGGTGGTAGGAGTCCATGGGAGAGAGGGAAGAAGGGCAGTAAAGGTGAGAGCTATTTAGAAAGGTGAAAAACCAGAAGGGAAATATTGGATACTAATGCTTCATGATGGGTTTGATTATATATAGGAAATGTTAGTCATGGCATGGGGAAGGGAAGGAACAGAAGCAAAATAGTGAATAACTTGGGTTGTTAACTTAATAGTATTTTTATTTTTCACTATGGTGGGTGTGGTTTTGGATTGGAGTTGAGGGGTGGTTTATAAGGGGGTCTCATGGGGATTTGATGAATCGGGTGGCAGAGAGAAAAAGGTGAAATAATAAGGTATGATATGGCTGGAAAAATCTGTGTTTTCTCTGCACTATCCTCTTCTGATAGCTCTCTCTACTCTCTGACAGGGTCCTCATCATGATACACATAGCTAGAGAGAGGAGAGAGGAGAGAGAAAAAGAAAGAGAAAGAGAGAGAGGGTGATGTACGAGGGAGTGGCGATTGAGTATGCGTGCGTGCGTGAGAAATGTGCAGGTATTCCTTTGTCAGTGAAGAAATTGTAAGGGAACAGAAAGTAGTTTCATTAGGGATAGCAATTAGCAAGGGAAAAACTCAAAAAAGGGACAAAAAAGGAAAAACTTTGGAACAGAAAAAAGAAAGAAAAATAAAAATAAAAAGGCTTCTTTAAACAGAAAAATAAAATGGGGGGTTTTTCACCACGAATATATATATCAATAAAGCTGATTCATATCTCCTCTGTCAGCAAGGTACAAAAATTGTATAATCAGAAACACCAACCATGTTTATTACACGCCAACTTCCTCACTTTTTATTTATGTATTACTATGTACTCTTTTGCTTCACCATTCTCAATCTCAACCACTCTATTAAAATTTATTCTAATTTTTTGTTAACGCCTAAATTCTTTTGTGTTCGGGGAGGTGGGATCCCTCAAACATACATAATTAAAACCCCAAAGTACAGAGTGCATTATTGCATTAGGTTTCTAACAACCCTATTAAGATTTCTATTAATTTAGTTTTGCTTTCACGAAATCCTCTTTCAGATAATAATGCTCCCAACTTATTTTGGTCCCCAAATAATTTTATTGTACAGTAATATTAGGATATTATAAACATCACTAATATATAGCATGAAAATTAATTAAGGGTAACAAAACAGTTTATATGGGGAGTTACAGCCACTTTTGCTGATGATGACTGTGACATTCAGTTGGTGACATATACAAGACAAATAAATATATAAATAAATAAATCTACTCTAGAAGGTAGGAAAAAATTAGACTGCACAATAAAAAATTAAAAAATAAAATCCTTTTAGCAATAGGGGTGTCATGGGATTTTACTGCCTCGTTTTCCCATCATATTATAGGCATGTCCTAAGTCCCAACCTTTATTGGTATCCGTTGTTAAACTCATTTTTAGGATTCAAAAAGTTTTTTTTTTCCTCTCAGCTTTTTCAGATCATACTTCTTTTCTTTGGAGAAAAAATCAATTTTTTCACTGTAAAAATCTAGAACCATGTGGGATCGAGATTCATATTCCAAAAGAGAAATGCTCAGTAACTCTGAATTACCATGATAGTTAGCAGGATTTGCATGACATATCGAGGGGGTGATTGATACATTTAACTGTTCTATCATAATCATAGCTAGCGGAAATTATATTTCATAGAGTAGAAATTACCAGAGTACACATAATTTTCAATAACCATCAATTTTACATGACACATCAAAATTAGAAAGGAGAAAAAGAAGCACAATGCTGCGAGAACAGAGAGACTCGTGTACAAGTGTGAATACAACCAAAACTAGAGAATTATTACTGTTATATACAATCTAATCACAAGAGGGTATCAATATCATGACATGTCAAAGCAACAGCTTTTAATACCATAACACATTTGGCGACTTTTTTCTTGGTAGACCAGATGACAATTCACAGAACAAAACAAATGTTACTGAAAGTGGGTATTATGAAACTGAGAGAGGAAAAAGTGAGGCAGAAAGCAAGAGCATAAATAGCTGAGATGGATTCGTTGATTTTACATCCACAGGGGCCAATCACCCAAGACATTGGATATAATGTCTCACTTTTTGAAACGCCCTTTTCTTTCCTCAACAAATATTAGCCCAAGAACAAATGAGGGAACAAACTGAGACACATAAAGCTGAATATGGTGATGGATTGTATTGATTTTACCCTGATCCACAACAAGCTCATGAAAAGTAAAAAAAGGAGCAAAAGGATGTGTTGCATTTCATTGTTCATGTTCCACAATTTCTATAACCTATTGTTGAACTAATCATGGGATTAATTATGAGCCTTAAACCGTGTGATTTTCAATTGAGGAAATGGTTAATTAAGTACACATGAATGACCCCACTCAGCCATCCCATCCATCCATCCAACATCCAATCCAATCCATCACTATCAAGAAACAAGGGGATGGTGATGCTAGGTTAGTGTGAAGGATTGATGCCATGGGAATTTGACACATCATGCTCGGATTTTGAGAACACCCTAACATCACAGGCTTTACATCAAATCAAATCATCTCTTCAATCTGCATGCTGAGGTCTTTCTCTCCAACCCAACCCAACCACCCTCTCTCATTTCCATCATTGGCCCATTTCTGCACTACCCAAATTCCCAATGTTACAACCATCCCTTTTTTACATTTACTATAAAAAAAAAATGTAAACACTAAACACACACCAACTTCTCTTTTTTTTCCTCCAAATCATCATCCCACCAAGGCACTTTCTGATAGTAGTTCCATAAAATGCATAAAATTATATTATCACCTCGCAATTCACTCTCACCTGAATTGGTTAAAACCCCTCAAGTCTCACCAACCATCCAGTGGCAACCTTAATGGCTTGCAATTTACGGTTCCTCATGTTATGTCCCTCTCCTGTTATCTTTGAAATCAGAACCGGGTCCGGCTCCACCGATACCCAAAACAAAAACCCAATTTTTTTTACCATTTAAAGATCCAAACTTTATAATAAATAATAATAAAATATTGACAGTGATAGGTGGTAAGACAACACAGAAACTCATTGCAGATGGAGATACCCTAGTTGTTTATTGATTGATATTGATTTTGATGGACATGGACATGGACATGTACTGAACCGGGCGGTCCAATTGTGAACCCGGTTGTCTGCTTCAGATATAGACAAACTGTGGCGGTTGACTTTGCTTAAGGTGAAAATAAAAAAAGGTAAGGTGAAAAAGGGTGTCTCGTAATTTTTTGAATAAGAGTGTGAAAAAAGACAACACGGCGCGTGAACCGAGAGAGATCGCAGATCGCGCGTGACGACAAGGCTTAGGTCATCCCCGCCGCCCTCCGTCTACGGCGTCAGAAGGGTGCATGGGGGTCATAATTTTTCTTTTTTGTTTTTTTATCACAAACCAATATAGTCTAAAGTAATATTAATCCATTTTATTTTATTTACTTTACTAAAAGCATGAACCTTTGAAAAATCATAGATCAAGCCATTAGTAGAAACTATCAATATTGATTAGAGGTGTTCATGCCCCAAATTAGCTTCAGTAAAGGTTTAACGAAAAATCAAAATATGAATCCATCATATTAAACTAATAATAAAAAATATATATATAAAAAACTACTCTTATACAGTGTCCACACTTTTAAAACAATTTTATCTTTCAACTGATTTTAAAAATCATTCTCTAACAATTATTTCTGCATTTCTTAACCATCTTTTATTTTAATAAAAATTAATTTGTTTAACTCACATAACTAGTATTCAATAAATTTGGTTTAATTTAGATTTGGAAATTTTTTAATCCAATTTATATCAATTAGATTGGTTTAGATGATTAGAGTATGATAAAATAAAAATTTAAATAACTTTTAAGTCCATATAAATGTAATTATGCCTCTTTCTGAATTTTGTAAGAAAAAATATTTTTGGATTTTTAACTTTTTGTTTTACTTTTTATTATTAACTCATGTTAATTTAGTGTTGATATGATAACAAAAGGAAAAATTATACTCACCTTCACATATACCTTCCTTTTATCTTTTAAAAATCACTCACTTCTTTTAAAATGATATTATTAGTTAAAGTGAGAAATAAATAAAAAAATAAAAATCAATTTATATTTTATCAATCATATATATATATCTATCATTCATTTCTAAATTATGTACAATACTCTATTTTCTTTATTAAAAAAATATTATTTTTCAATTTTAAAAATAATAAGTTTTCAACCTTTTTTTTTAAATTGTTTTTTGAAGTTTATATATATTTTTAAATCACAATAATATAATATTTAGGATATTATTTAGGAGTTCAAATTAAGTAAAAGATTAAGTCTCGTTCAAATGTTGACTCTTTCATTAATTATTTGTTCTCACTTTTTTTAGATAATTATTTGTTCTCTCTTATTAGTATACAAATGGTGTTATTTTATATTAAGAATTGTATGTGACACTTAAAAACATAAATAAATAAGGTCATTGTTTACTTAAAAACTAAAGAGGAGATGTGTATCATTTAAAAAGATCTAAGAGGAATTAAGTACAAATTTTTCCTAATAAAATAAGAAAATTTTATTAAGATAATAAAAAATATTATAATTAAAGATAATTAATGGATATTTGGGTGCATAATTCAATTAAATAATGTATTTTCTAGGGATTAAACAATGTATTTTTATTTTATATCAATAAGGTGATTGTATGTAACTTTTTTATTTGGGTGAAGTTATCAAGAATACTCACTATAATTAGGTAATAGATTTGCATGTTTTTGTGGATACACAAAATGAATGTAATTTCATCCAATTCACCAAGGTCTCAAACTTGCTTGTGTTAGAGGTATTCACAATCTAATATACAAAACAGATTCTAAATCAACTCTATCGTTAATTATTTAAGATTTGGTTTCATCTTAACCATATGTTTCTTTACTAAAAATGTTATAGGCTTTTACCACCAAAGAATGGACTTTGGTATTCTAGCACACCTTTAGGAATGGATTAATGTTGTTGATTCACTGACAAAACATGGTGCATCCATGGAAGCCAAGTCAACCCAAAAACAACACCAACAAAATCCTCACTTTATGCCCCATTCAAAAATACATAATTTTATATTAATATTTATATATTTTCATAAATTAAAAGTTACTTTTACATTTTTCAAAATTTATTTTAAAAGGTTTATGTATAAAAGATGTATAAATATAATTATTTTTTCAAGACCCGTCTCTAAAATATTTTATATCAAAAAATATTACATTACTAATTTTTAAAAAGCCCCACTTTAAGATTTGTTGCTGACCTAATAATATGTTAGGTCTATCTTGTATGAAAGATATTTATTTAATTTTGATACTTGTCTACAACATCTTAGTGGCTGATTGACCATTGTAGGGTCATTTTTAAAATATTTTACGTAAATGGGGCTGTTCTGAAACT